ACTTTATCTATTAAACGTTGGGTGTTTGAATATAAAATATTGTAAGCCGTCTCAACTTTACATGGAGAATAAAATCCCTACATTACTGGCTTCTCCACTTTATCTATTAAACGTTGGGTGTTTGAATATAAAATATTGTAAGCCGTCTCAACTTTACATGGAGAATAAAATCCCTACATTACTGGCTTCTCCACTTTATCTATTGAACGTTTGGTGTTTGAATATAAAATATTGTAAGCCGTCTCGACTTTACATGTAGAATAAAAACCTTACATTACTGGCTTCTCCACTTTGTCTATCAAAAACTTGGTGTTTCAGTAGAAAATAGTGTGTTAAATTACATCATTTGGCAAGGAATTTTCTTCTATGACAACATCAACCAAGTTTAATGATTACAGCACACGACAACAAACTAATCGAATCACACATTTTTTTTCTTGAATGTTATTGTTAAGTTTTTCCTATTCAAACAACACATACAAACAAAAAAAAATCATGAAACCTAGCTTGACAAATGTAACGGTGACACCATTCTGAAGGTCAGATCTCGGTCAATGTTAAATCTTTAAGTTTTCGCCCTCCGTGTTTTTTTATGACTTATAACCAGAAGTGGTTAATGCTTCATTTGGCAAGATAAGCTATCAAAAGATATACTGTAATGAATGTCAAACAAGATGAGTTCGAATAGATATAAATAATGAAACTTTTGTGATCAGTAGTTGGAATCAATTAAAATTTTAATTTAAAAGGAACTATTTTTATGATGTTTTTTTTTACTTTTCAAAACATCATCTCATCTCAAAATTTTAGAAAATTCACCTACTAAACATGACATAAATACTAAATCAATTTGTATATCTTAGGTTTAATGCAATTTGGTCAAGTGTTTCCACTGTGAGAAGGAACAATTGCGTAATATTAGTGACACCCTTCGGGTCCAAAAAGACTTAAATCAAGACTGAGAACATTATTATTATTGTTATATTTACAAAATAGATAAGTCTAAGTAATAGTTGTGGTAATGTGGACATCTCAGTTAGATTCTTATATTTAAAGTGATGTCAATTGACATGCAGCTTGTATGGAATATAATTATTGGTTTTCTTTATTATTCTGACATTTCATTTTAGCAAATCAGTTGTGTAAACTAAGTATTAATGGTCAGGAAAGCATGTTTTCTTCACAATGAATATTATATGTTACAAATATTACTGAGGGTTAAACGTGCTGTATAAGAATGGTGCTCCTGGTGTCATGCCTCCGTGATTGATCATGGTCAGTCTAGAGGCCAGGATTATTTCGACACTGCAGATTTCATTGTAAGAATAATTTGTGAAGGTCAACCTTAGACCATGCATCTTGATGGATTTTACACTGTATGTGGACATTGGCTTCCATCCAAGTTCACGTTTAACCAGTGGAAAGACTCAAAAATCCATTGAAGCTGTATCAGAGGACTTGATGGGTATGTGGTCAAATTGGATTTCTGTAATTCCATTTTCTTCAGCTATTGTACTCCTGCAATCTTAGCTAAAAGATTGTGAACTTTTGGCATGTGAGCATTCATCAGCTTTAAATCCTTGTTCATTAGAATGTTAAAAGTATCAGGAGATATGTGTAACTTCTTGGGTTAGAGGATTCTCTTTTGTAACCACAACCTTCACTTTGCAGATGAGGGAATTGATCCAGATTGACTTGGGACATGCTTTTAGTTTGTCCTATTATTTCACTCTCTTTTTAACCTGGTTGTGTCCATTGTCTCTGCATCAATGTTATATGGCTATCTTTTCTCAAAAAGGGTTATAACATTGTCACCCAGCCATATGTCTACCCTTGAGTCATTGTACCATTGAATGGTCAGGAATTTGCAATGAACCAAACACCTAGATGCTAAACGTGTTGACCATGACATTGTGGCTACTTGCCGCAACTTGAATGTTTGCACATTGTTCTTGCAAAGTATAATTGGCCCTCTGGACTTTATTAACAACTACACAAGTTATACTTTAAATAAGACATAAAATTTTAAAAAGGGGATTCCACTAACTGTCTTGTTATCTAGTCTTTGATTGTGAAGTAACTACTTAGTTAATTAAATATGATATTTTTTAATTACATCCAGCACCAAAGGATTTGGACTAAAGTTGGTATACATTTGGACTATGACCCAACTTAAAAGTGATTAGTTTTTGGAGGGTCAAGGTCATGTAAATCCAAAAAAACCCAATCTGTTAATATGAGGACCAATTTTTCACGCTATTTTTGCTTTATAGCTCAATCAAAAATGATCGGATTTTGATAGAACTTGGTGGACCTATGTAGAATGTTATTCCTCGTTGTCCTATCAAAAATGGTCCGTTTCCATTGACAATGACGGAGATACGGACACATTTTCTTATTTGAAGAACCTGATTTTATTCAGTGGATTATTTAATTTTTTAATGGTGTTTAAATGAATTTACAAGTTATTGGTTGTTTTTGTAAATATTTACTCAGAATTGTTATTTTATGGACAAGTTCAACTTCTGTTGCATTTGATTGTTTATATATATATTTATATATGTACATTTTGTACATTGTTTTACCAGAACATCTGCTTATAACTCAACTATACCAATAATTCCTAAATATCTTTTTATGCTCCAAAAAGTGCTTTCCCTTGTTTGAACAGGAAAAAGAAAAAAAACATTGTATTAACTCTTTTAAACTCAGAATTGCTTACATGATTTCCCATGAGTTATCTCCATACCCTATTAAACTTCAGTTTTTTAATTTTGTGGATAACAACATGGCTTGGGTTAGTTTTGAACCAAAGAGACAAACGTTATCGGGTACTGTCACCATCGGATGGATAAATCGGGATTTTCAGCTGGATGCTTGTAGCATCTGCTCGAGTTTAAGGAGTCAATACTGATGTAGTGTGCTTGTAACAATTGATTTAATGAATCGTATTATTTGGCTTAAGATAATCTACTTTAAAAATATTGACAAAAATAAGTTTTTTGTTTTTACCAAGGCTGTTATTAGCATTGATTCTATAATGATAACTAACCTGTTGGATAAACTGGAAAATTTGGTTTCGTAACGTCATTTTTGAAAATTGACTAAACCCTTGTATTCACTAGGGCCAGGGAGCAGCCGCAGTTCTTCTACCAGTAGTCTCAACAGCATTGCTTCTGATAGCAGGCTTCCAGCTAATTCTCTGATTATTGGAAACACTAGTGACATCTTTGTAAAGGTAAATAAAGCTGCAGGACCCTCAAATGATTGTTCAGCAAAGTTATATAGTATAGATCTTGCAAGTCACGTTGATTTAGAAAGATTGTATTAATCATTAATTAACACACTGTAGGTTCAAGTATTAGTTTATTCTAACATTTCCAAGTCTAATAATTGACATTAGTATTCAACACCCGTTTCGAGTTCTTAGAACTGTTGTAATAAAATTCATCAGGTCAATACTTAATATATAATTTTCTACACAAAGTGATCGCTTACCTCAAGAGATGTCTACTGGGTTTTAATATTAAGTCTGTAATGTACATATTTTTTAATGACAGACTGAATAATATTCAAAGTTTTCAATTATTCAAACTATTCTATACATTTAACTGGTACTTTCTAGAACATATTTCATACTTTGGGAAAAGAAATAGAAATCGTAGAACAGGAAGATACTATTTTCTAATTATAATCATTATGTCATGAGAAAGCTATAAGGAAAGCATAAAAGCTCTTTATAAAAAATTATTTAACTGATTATCAGTGTATCGTAAGAGAATTAGCTCTGGAAATACAACAAATTGCATGCTAAACTCACTTTATTGAGTCATGTCCTTAGTCTGTTGCTAGGCATGTTCCATTTTATCTGGGGACTATTTATCATTGGTCTAAATCAAAATCTTAAAATGACTGGAATGGACAACTACATCATGGTTACTGAAAGCAAGTTCAAGTACACTCAATCTGATTGGTGCTTTGTTAATTATTTTTCCATCTTATCTTGTATTCATCTCACCTTACTATAAAGGTGATCCATATTTTTATAGTTGCATGTATTATGTGTGGAACTTGTCTGGTGTGCATGAGCTATTTTGTTTTAGAAATTTTGACTGAGAATGGGCAGAAAAAATGCACCTTTAAATAAGCCATATTTCCACTTTTTTTTTTATAAACATTTTGGCTTTGAATTTAAAGACACAAGTACTTACCAGTTGATTGAGCATTAGTAGGTTATGGCATTAGTATCTAAAAAAAATTTTTGTGAAGTATTTATGAAACACTAAAGAGGATTTGTCTGAATATATTGAGTATTTGTTTTGAATAGTCCATGTGCAAAGTGACTTTTTCATGTTAAAATTAAAAATACTTTTCTTCATCTCAAAAATCACAAATTTCATTAGTGTAATTTCTAAAATCTCCTAAATATGTTTCAAATATTTGTTTTCAGTAAAACTTTATATCTTATCTGTTATTTTCTCTACCCTAACTGTATACAAGATTGGTCAATTTGACCGACCTCGTAACCACCAAAAAAAAAAATATAAATAAATCTAAATTACCCTCTTTTTATTTCTACAATGACTTCAAATTGTAACATGTAATA